TCCTGCTGCCAATACACTTAGAATCACAGAATCATCAGGGTTGGAGGAGATCTCTAAGACCATTCAGTCCAACCATGAACCTGTCACTGCTGGAACCCCTAACCCTAAACCAGATCCTCCAGTGCCACATCCAGATGCCTCTTCAACACTTCCAGGGATGGTGACTGCACCACCTCTCTGGGCATTCACTTCATTCTGCCCAAGCTGCTCTGTGACATCCTTGTGTCATTAACGGCCCTTAGCACTTCCCAGGTGTGAGCAGACTGCTGAGTTACAACATGTGCTTGCACAGTGGGTTTTTACATGCTCAGTAAGTCAGCACCTCTGTGAAATGCAAACTTCTGGCACACACTGACTGATGAGATTTTTCTTGTTCTGTAGGTCTGGTCATGTGGTGTGCGAGGTGGGTAGGGGATTTGTAATGAGCAACTCTCTTGTGCCAGTAGAAGAAGGTGGGGAGTTTTCCAACCCCAAGAAATTGGGCAGTTTTATTCCAAACGTGATCTGAGAGGGAAAAGAAAATACCAAGAGAGATTATTTGGGACTTTTATGTCTTCCAGTGACTCATTGTTTCCAATTTGTTTATATGTACTATTTTCGTAGGCTCAACTATCATTCATATGGCTTGGTGTTTCCAAGCTCAGTTGTGGACTGCAAGAAAATAGTTGGTGTTTGTTACAGCAGAAAAAGAGTCAAAGCCTTAGAGTGTAGCTAGGGGAGGAGGTTACAATCAAGAGGCACAGACTGGGACAAGTTCTGCTCCTCTCCTGTGGTTATCTTGTGGCAGACTCAGTCTGTGCACCACTATGGCAGAGGGTAAAGGTGAGACAGCAGGAACTCTGGAAGACTAAGTGTGTGGCTTGTAAAAGAGGAAGGTACTTTACTGTGTAATAAGGAAACCAGAAGACAAAAATGCCATTGATCATCACTGCTGGACAGCTGTCTCTCATATCCATTTGTAACCTTTCAAAAATATTGAGCATATTTACTTTTCCTCATCTTAATGCAGGTGGTTTTTTTCTTTTTTTAATTTAGCTTTTTCCACTTTTCAAATTGGAGCCTTGATTACAGATTTTCTCATATTCATCATGACAGTTTAGCAGGACTTGAGTTATGCACCTGCAACCTTTTCCACCCCATTCCCAGGGGAAATCACCTTCACTATTTGTTTGCTAGGAAAGCAGTAAGAGCCTAACCCAAGCATGGTTTGCATAAATGGTAATCACTTTGCTCTCATATGGAGCCTTGACAAGTACTAGTGCTTATACATGCAGAGAGTCACAGAATCAGGTTGGAAGGGACCACAGTAGGTCATCTGGTCCAACCTCCCAACTCCAGCAGGGCCACCCTAGAGCACATGGCTCAGAATTGTGTCCAGAGGGTTCTGGGCACCTTGTCCTGGCTCAGCAGAGTGTGGCAGCAGCACTAGGGCAGTGTCATCCCCCTGCACTGGGCACTGGGGAGGTCCCAGCTCAGTGCTGTGCTCAGCTTTGGGCCCCTCGCTTTAAAAAGGACATGGAGGTGCTGGAGTGAGTCCAGTGAAAGACCACAAGGCTCGTAAAATGTGTGGAACACATGTCATATGAGGAAGGGCCGAGGGAGTTGGGTTGGTCAGCCTGGAGAAGAGGCTCAGGGGTGACCTCCTGGCTCTCTGCAACTCCTGCCAGGGCTGGAGAGAGGTGTGGGATGTGTGTCCTGCCAGGGCTGAGGGAGAGGAGAGAGGGAATGGCCTTGAGCTGAGCCAGGGCAGAGTCAGATTGGATGTGAGGAGAAATGTTTTCCCTGTTGTGGTGTTGAGGCCCTGGGATATTGCCCAGGGAGGTGGTGCAGTCACCATCCCTGGAGGTGTTTCAGAGGTGTCTGATGTGGCACTGGAGGATCTGGGTTAGGGTTTGGGGGTTCCAGCACTGACAGGTTCATGGTTGGACTCAATGACCTTAGAGGTCTCCTCCAAACTGGATGGTTCTATGAATTTACTGCTCTCCCACTTTTGAATCCTCTGTGAGAAAATGAAAGGATTACTTGGAGAACATTGAACACCTCATCCTAACTTCATCATAGTCCTGTGCATTTAAATTTCAGAAGTTTGAGTTCCTATTCCTAGCAAGAACAAGAGAATACAGCAGATAGCTACCATTTCACTGCTCAGATCTAAACAAATAAATTTGCTGTCATTCCCTTGATTTTCTTCTGAGAAATTCTTGTTTGAAATAATCGAGAGCATAATTTTCTGGAATTCTGTTACTGCATGTTAATAATGAAATGTTTTTGTGTGTTTTCCAATTCTTCTGCAAATGATCTCTGGAGGAAGCTTAGCTAAGCACTAGTTATGCTTTGATGACAGTATTCAATTGCTGCTGCAAAACTTGAGCCTGTGTGTCTGAAGGTTTCTAAGTTAAACTTCTTTCCTCTTTGTGAAGTCCTGCACAGCAAATGAAACCATTTCAAATTCTAACTCCTGTGTTTCATGTTTTATTCTAGGTTGTTGGAAGAGGAGCCTTTGGTGTGGTCTGCAAGGCAAAATGGAGAGCTAAAGATGTAGCCATTAAACAAATAGAAAGTGAATCTGAAAGAAAAGCCTTCATTGTAGAGGTACAGTAAGTTTGGTGGAAGATATGGAGTTTGGTAGAGCTTCTTTTCTTCAGTTCAGGGGTGCATTTAGTGTGCTAAAAGCTATGGCTTTATTACAAGGTAAATAAAGGCAGCCTGTGGTCCTCAGTTCAGGCCTGGACCCCTTGGCTTGCAGAACAGGAGACCTGTCAGAGCACATTGTGGGTTCTTTACTTTGCTTCCCATAAAAACTGGAAGGCAAGGAGGGGAGAGAGAAGGGCATACAACTGGGGAAATTCCAGTTCCTAGATTCTCTCCTGATGTGGAGTCAGGATGCAGCTGAAATACTCACCAGTCTTGGATCCTGTTAACACTTCGGGGGCTCCAACACAGGTTCTTCAGTACAATCAGGTCCATACTTGAAACTATTTCTGTGGGTTTTTCAGCAGTTCTAATAGTTTCATTAATTTGTTCTTGCATAGAAGCATATTGCCTGTAAGTCATTTAAAGGTAATCACTGTTTTCATTCATGGAATCATAGAATTTAGGGGTTGGAATGGAGCTTAGAGCTCCCCCAGCCCCAACCCCTGCCCTGGGCAGGGACACCTCCCACCAGAGCAGGTTGCTCAAGGCTCATCCAACCTGGCTGTGAACACTGCCAGGGTTGGGGCAGCCACAGCCTCCCTGGGCACCCTGGGACAGGGTCTCACCACCAGAACAGGGAAAACTTCTGCCTAACATCGAACCTCAATTTCCCTCCTTCCATTTGTGTCCATTGTCCCTTGTCCTGTCCCTGCAGCTCCTAACACAGATCCCTCTGCAGCTTCCCTGGAGCCCCTTCAGCTCCTGCAAGGTGCTCTGAGCTCTCCACACAACCTTCTCTTCTCCAGGCTCAACAGCCCCAGCTCCCTCAGCCTGTGCTCACAGGGAGATGCTCCAGTGCTCTGAGCAGCTCTGTGGCCTCCTCTGCACTTGCTCCAACACTTCCATGTCCTCCTTATGTTGAGGACACCAACGGCTGGCCACGCTCCTTTTGATGCAGCCCAGGATTCCATTGGTTTCTGGGCTGAGCTCACACTGCAGCTCATAGGGAGTTTCTCATCCACTGTCACTCCCAATGTTTACTTCTTCAGAAATATCTTGAGTACTTGAGATATACTGATAAACTTCCCAAGACACACAACATTTTCTTGATTCAAAAGTTTGCTGTGTAATTTAAATGAGATATTTTGTGACATGCAGCCCAGGATTCCATTGGTTTCTGGGCTGAGCTCACACTGCAGCTCATAGGGAGTTTCTCATCCACTGTCACTCCCAATGTTTACTTCTTCAGAAATATCTTGAGTACTTGAGATATACTGATAAACTTCCCAAGACACACAACATTTTCTTGATTCAAAAGTTTGCTGTGTAATTTAAATGAGATATTTTGTGACATGCTGCTTAAAACTTCCCAAGACACACAACATTTTCTAGAATCAAAAGTTTGCTGCTTAGTATTACTTCAGTCATCACTTAGGATGTCCTAGATACACAAACCACATTAAAATCTCTTAAATTTAGGACTAAATGTACTAAAATGTAACACATTGAAGGGTTGAAAGCAGCATGTTTGTACTAGGCCTCTCTGTGTAAATGTTTACATGTTGTTCATCACCATGGAAAGCTTTTAAGGTTATTACTCTGAGTCTAATTTAATACTGAGTAGATGGGATTGGTCTCTTAGCATTTTTGTGTTCAAAAGAGATCCAAGCAGATAATTCCAGAAAATCTTCAGGAATTACTGTTACTCAGGAAAGTCTACACAGTGCAAGCGTCACTTGTAATACTCCATTCTGATTTTCTAGGTCTTCTGAAGTGTGCAGAAATAATAGCATTTTCTCCCTAGACAATGGACAGCATAAGCTCCTTCAGAAGTCTGTGAAAAGTGCAAAAAATTTCTTCCCTTCTACTATGTACTGGTAAAAAAACCTTCAGTGTGGAATAGTGTAGTGGTCAGTACAAGCAGCAGTAAGTTTTTGGAGCTACATCAGTTCAGTATTAAACTTGCTAGCTTATTTAATAGGGCTGTGTTTGGGGTTTTTTTTAGTAGAGTAACCTTCTATATTGTGAATGAAGACGATATGATTCTGATTTATTTTTTTTTTATGGAGTCAGGCACTTGAGATTCCAAAATTGCAGGCTCCAGGGAGACCACTGAACCTATCAAGGTCATAGTCACCCAGTGCTTGTGCCTTGAGTGATTTTGCTGCAACCTGGAAAAAAAATGCTTTCTTGACATTTAATTTATTATAACTTTCTTTTAAAATACAGATCCCATTAGTCACAAACCTAATGACACGAACAGGTCCAGCCAAGAGCAGTAAGGATCATAAAAGGTCTAGAATATGTCATATGAGCAAGGGCTGAGGGAATTGGGTTGGTCAGCCTGGAGAAGAGGCTCAGGGGTGACCTCCTGGCTCTCTGCAACTCCTGCCAGGGCTGGAGAGAGGTGTGGGATGTGTGTCCTGCCAGGGCTGAGGGAGAGGAGAGAGGGAATGGCCTTGAGCTGAGCCAGGGCAGAGTCAGATTGGATGTGAGGAGAAATGTTTTCCCTGTTGTGGTGTTGAGGCCCTGGGATATTGCCCAGGGAGGTGGTGCAGTCACCATCCCTGGAGGTGTTTCAGAGGTGTCTGATGTGGCACTGGAGGATCTGGGTTAGGGTTTAGAGGTTCCAGCAGTGACAGATTAATGGTTAGACTCGATGATCTTAGAGTTCTCCTCCAAGCTCAATGATTCTATGATACATAAATTAGAAAGCAAATAGGGACATCAGTCTTGTAATTCCTAAAACCACCATCTAGGTTTGTCAAACATACAAAACTGTACTGGCTGTTGTGGTGTATTAATTATAGATGTGAAAATAAAGCATTAACTTTTATTTCCCATGGTTTGAAATTGTGTGATTTGTGTTGCAGCTTCGACAACTGTCACGAGTAAACCATCCCAATATTGTGAAGTTATATGGAGCCTGTCTAAACCCAGTAAGTTACAGCTTTGTCAGTGTGGCCAGAAGTGACTAGGTTAACATATGCAAGCATCAATGCACAAAATTTGTGTTTTATATTAAACAGTATACATTTTATCTATTTTTTTTGTATGTTTTAGCCATAATAAGGGAACATGCAAATACATAGGTTGGTTGATATTTTCAGGTTTTGTCTTTTCTTTCTCCTGCTATGAAAAAGAAATTCTTTCAAGAAAACCCCAAAGTTATTTCTAAACACCAGTTTCAGGTTGCCAGAATGGCACCTGGTATGTTGCATATGTAGTGTTATTCATATCTGCAGTCCAACTAATTTCAAATCAGCAATACAAAAACTAAATGCATTTGTGACTCATGATTACAGCTTATAAATCAGTTCCTCTTCTCATCCATGCAATTTTCAGGGTTTGCTTTCTTTCTGGAAGCAGTCCCACATATTCTCAAAGCAAGTACTGTACCAGGACAGATGTATCCTTAGCTAATTCTTGTATGGGCTATTTAATTGCTTCAAGGAATGCTGCATCCCTCTTTTCTTAGTGCTAGTGAAATTCTTTTCACCTCATCTATAAATTTCTTTTGTAAGCCACTGAAGAACAAAAGTAAAGGCAAATGAATTGCAGTTTGAAGACAGCATTTTCTTTTTAAGACTGAAGAGGAATGAGGTCATTCTCTTCTTTCCCAGTTTACAATGGGAGCTAAGTCTAAAACTGATTTCTGTTTCTTACACATAAATATATATGCTACAAACTTTTTGCTTCATAGATATATTTTCCATTGGCTTAGGTATGGAGGCTTTGCAGTTCCTCTTATAGAACTTTCCTTTTAGTTTACAAAAGCTGTTTTCTGCCCCTACATTTAAAACATCCCTATTTTTTTGTCCCCTCCCCCCAAAGGTGTGTCTTGTTATGGAGTATGCTGAAGGAGGTTCTCTATACAATGGTGAGTATCATTTCAACCTGGTGTCTTCCTGGAGCTGAAGTGCTAGTATTAGGGCAAACATGATCTAGACTGTTGTTGTGATCCTGTAGAATGCATAGATAGTTGTTTCACACATATATCTCCATCCTTGGAGATAGTCTGAAGCCACCTGGACACAGTCCTAGGCAATCAGCTGGGGGTGCCCTACTTGACCTTGCTTGGTGGACCTCCAGAGGTTCCTTCCAACCATTCTGTGGTTCTTTGAAATGCTTAAAACAATTTAAAGGAGAAAGGAGTGTACTTTAAAAAAACTCTTTTCAGTCCACTGCTTTGTTCTTGATACCAGTTTCAGATTTTATGCAAGTAATCTAAGGTTTTCTAGTGGAACATCTGAAAAGATTCTTCCCTGAGCATTTGTTGAACATACTTTATCAGGGATAGCTGAAAAACAAGCAACACTTTTCATATTGAATTTTAAGATAAAGAAATACGGCGAGCAGACTAAAAAATGGCAAATATTTTGACACTTGTGTTATTTTACCAGTCTGCAGAAGGATATTTTCAGTTGCACTAATGAGGTGTTGATAATCCCTTAGATTCCATAGAGCTTTCTGACTGGTCTTTTGTTAACTCCACTGTATCTGTTGTAATATGCAATAAAGTTCTTTTTAGTTTGTGCCTTTGTTTTGCAGTGCTGCATGGTGCTGAACCTCTGCCTCACTACACTGCTGCACATGCCATGAGTTGGTGTTTACAGTGCTCCCAAGGAGTGGCTTATCTCCACAGCATGAAACCAAAGGCTCTAATTCACAGGGACCTGAAACCACCAAAGTAGGTTTATGGTTCATATTTTCTTACAGTTGGAATTCAAGATTGTTTATAATCATTGTGTTAGAAAGAAATGCCTTTAATTGATGTTAACTTTTTGGGTGTCCTGTGTTCTAAGTGAGAGCATTTGAGTCTCCAGTTGCAGAATGGTGGTGTATGAAAGAGAAAATGAACTGTGTTCAGCTGCTTATTGTTAAACTGGAAAAATATCCTGCTCCTGCCCTATGTCATGGAAGAGGATCTTGTTAGGAATAGAGCTTCTAATGAGAGTGTGCTGGGACTGTTATGGTTTAACCCTAGGCAGGCACCAAACCCCACACAGCCACTCACACACTCTCACACCGATGGGATGGGGGAGAGAATCAGAAGGGTGAAAGCTAGAAAAGCTCATGGGTTGAGATAAAGACAGTTTAATAGAGAAACCAAAAGCACAAGCAACACAAACCAAGGAGTTAATTCCCTGCTTCCCATGGGCAGGAGGTGTTCAGCACCTCCAGGAGAGCAGGGACCATCATGGGCAATGGTTCCTTGGGAAGACAAACACCATCACTCCAAACATCTCCCCTTCCTCCTGCTTCCTCCCACTTTATACCCTGAGCATGATGTGCTATGGTATGGAATGTCCCTTTGGTCAGGTTGGGTCACCTGTCCCAGCTGTGTCTCCTCCCAATCTCCCATTCACTCCCAACTCCCTTCCCAGTGTGGCAGTGAGGAAAGCAGCAAAGGCCTTGGCTCTGTGTGAGCTCTGCTCAGCAACAACAAACACATCTCTGCATGACCAACCCTGTGCTCTGCACAAATCCTAAACACAGCCCCATGCTAGTCACTGGGAAGAAAGTTAACTCCACTTCAGCCCAAACCAGCACAGAGAGACATATAAAATGCTCTCTTTTTGCTGTGGTTTTCAGTAAGAGAATGTTGTGGAGCTAGAGCTCTTTCACCACATGGCCATCCTCCTTTCTCCCCTCCCCTTCCTGTCCCACTCCTCCTGCCAGGAGCTCCATCACTTTCCAGTGAAACAAAATGTAATAGTTTTCTGTCCAGTCAGCTTGTTTTCTGGCTCATTCTACACCTACAGATGTGGCTCCACAGATTAGATGCCAACAGAGGTCTGAGGATCAGCAGAATCATCCCTTTTTGCTGATAGCCTGTAGTTATCACCAGATAAAATGATCATGTGAAGCCACACTTTAAATCTTTAGTTCCCGCTTGCATCCCCAGTTTTGATTTAGAGAGCTGTTAACATGTAACTTTGAGTTAGTTCAATTAAGTAGCTAAGGTGACTGACATTAGTGGTAGCCTAGATAGTTCTGGTGGTAAAACTGTTACAGCACTTGTTGCTTTTCAGCCTTTGGCATCTGATAGACTAATGTTGTCAATATATGCTTAGTGGTTTACTATGGCTAAAGATATTTATTTAAAATCTTACACGTAGAAATGTTAATAAATTACTAAATATTTTTGATTATTTTAATGTATTTAGTATGTTCACGTCAGACACAGTTCCCATTAGAACCTTAATAATTTCCTAAGTTATGAAAATAAAGCACTGAGAAGCAAAGCTTAAGATATTCAGCTATATTAGATAGTCGTTGAGATAAGAATTGATCAATGGTTTATTACCAGACTCCTCCATGCTACGATTTTAATATAGTTTCTTTCTTTCTTTGACAGTTTGCTCTTGGTAGCTGGGGGGACAGTTCTAAAAATCTGTGACTTTGGTACAGCCTGTGATATTCAAACCCACATGACCAACAATAAGGGAAGTGCTGCTTGGATGGCACCCGAAGTTTTTGAAGGTAACAAAGCTTCACAGTGTCAGTTGTATGTGTTCTGTTTAGGGATGCAACTGTGAATTCATGTGGTGTAGGAAGTAAGAACATCATAGAATCATAAAATCATAGAATTTAAAGGTTGGAATGGACATTATAGATCATCTAGTCCCAAACCCCCTGCCCTGGGCAGGGACACCTCCCACCAGAGCAGGTTGCTCAAGGCTCATCCAACCTGGCTGTGAACACTGCCAGGGTTGGGGCAGCCACAGCCTCCCTGGGCAGCCTGGGACAGGGTCTCACCACCCTTAGAGTAAAAAACTTTTTTCTCATGTCCAGCATAGACCTTCTTTCTTTCAGTTTGAATCCATATCCCCTTGTCCTATCACTGCAGATCCTAACACAGAGTCCCTCTGCAGCTCCTTATAGGCCCTTCAGATATTGAAAAGTTGCTCTGAGCTCTCCACACAACCTTCTCTTCTCCAGGCTCAACAGCCCCAACTCCCTCAGCCTGTCTTTGTGTAGTCTTACTTCATTTCAATGTACATTAAAGTCTGAGGTCACAACTGAAAGAGTCTTGGCAGAAGTCTAACATTTATTTGAACATCTGTACAGTTGTCTATTGTCAGATAGTTATGCAGAGGTTTGAAGAGCAGCACTGAGCCAACTCTCTCATGTTAGCATTAGACATATAAATACACGACGGTGTGAAACCTGTATTTGTGTCATTGCTGAGATTTACATAAGAGTACCTTTAGACAGCTCCTGTTTCTTACTTTTTAAGTAAGTAAAATACAGCTAGAGGGCTCTTTTCCCACAACTGTGTTTTTTCTGACATTCTTTAAATCATTTGAAACTCTTCTGACATTTAAATACTCTCATTACTTTCACTCCCAGATTCTGATCGGCTTTTAACTTTAGAATTACCCTGTTAGTGTCTCTAAATTGAACATAATTGCCTTCCACCACTTGCTTGTAACTCCACCTTCATCTGCTTCTTGTCTCATCTAGAGAGCTGATGTACTTCCTCTTTCCTTTATACTGAGAAACTCATTATTAGCAGTTAATTTACTTAAGTAGGAAAACAAGCTATTTCTTGGAGTGTTGCTGGGGGAAAACTGAAGACATCTGATAATTAGGTCTAATTGCTTCATGATTATCAGAAAAATAATCCAGCCAATATTGAAATTGCAAATTTAACACCTCTTAGCCAATCAGTACCTTAAACTATCATTGAGATTTAGCAGTGGTCTGGAAAAGTCATCTTCCTGCTTTAGGAAGCAGATGTCCTGGCTTTGATCTGTTTGGCAAGTGCCTATGTGCAGCAGTGGTTTCCCAGGTTCTTTTACTGTCCTTATTCCAGAGACTGTCCATACACAGTTTGAGGACTCCTCCTGACCTCCCCCTTGGGAGCTTTTGTTCTGAACGTGCCATTTTATTCCATATACTGCTTAGAGGAGCCACCCAAGGGATGTGGTGGCTGCCCCAACCCTGGTGGTGTTCAAGACCAGGTTGGATGAGCCTTGAGCAACCTGATCTAGTGAGGAGTTGTCCCTGCCCAGGGCAGGGGTTGAGACTAGGTGATCTGTAAGGTCCATTCCAACCCTTAAATTCTATGATTCTAAGGATTATTTGTTTCACTGTGTTGCCTAAACATTTTCCATTATGTCCCTTAATATTGAGGCACCTGCTCTATTTCTTTAGCTAAGAATGCTTCTTTTCTTTACGTTTATTTATTATTAAATTATATGAATAGGAGATTTTTTTCCCTTTAGAAATTATCCATTGAACAATCAGTGTTAAAGTTAGATCATTTTTGAGTGAAAAACCTCAATCTAAAATGGATTTCTAAAGAAGTGTATTGAGGTAGGGATTCACAGTGTATATCCTTGTTCCTCTGATGTATGTGTCTGGCAGAGCAGAAAAAAGAAATCTTGTATTGCAGATGTACTGTTGGACAGTAGCAAAAACCTTCAGTTTGCAGTTGTTTTTATGGACCTTTCACTGAAAGCATATACTGATAAATGTGCAAATCATTACCTTCATTATAAAAAGAACAAGTATCAAGGAAAAGAAGGGATCTAGTAGCTCCTATGCAGCATATCCAATACCTTTTGCAGCAGTCATTAAACTACTAAAATAACCATGTGAAATGTCAAAGTTGTTAAAACTTTGTTTGCTCATACTGCTGCATTGTTTGTGAAATGATTTGTCTGAATGATCATAGAATCATCAAGGTTGGAGGAGACCTCTAAGGGCATAGAGTCCAACCATGAACTGTCAGTGCTGGAACCCTCAAACCCTAACCCAGATCCTCCAGTGCCACATCAGACACCTCTGAAACACCTCCAGGGATGGTGACTGCACCACCTCCCTGGGCAATATCCCAGGGCCTCAACACCACAACAGGGAAAACATTTTTCCTACCATCTAATGTCCAAATGCTTTCTGATTATGTGTTAACAAAAATATCTCTTGCCAACTATTTGCCAATTTTGATCCTTGCTTGAAGATAGATGACAAATCTCTTATCATTTCTCTTCACACATTTATTCTCGTGTCTTTAGCCAATCACATTTCTTTCTAGTGTTTGAATGAGTTATGGTTGCAGAGCATATATTGTTTCTCTACAGCCTCTGAACATTTTTCCATATCAACTGCACCTTAGGAGCCTTAGAAATATTGATCTTATGGTCAAAGAGTTTTAATTAAGTAATGACATTAGAAAAAGAAAAGAAAAATAGGGAGGAAATAAGATGAAGACTAATGGAGGTAACTTAGTGACGTCTTTTCCAACCTTAATGATTCTTTGATTCTATGATGAATTCAAACCGTACTTCTTTGTAATGTGTTCCATAGGAAAGAGGCAAATTATACTGATGGCTTTCTTTCAGGTAGCAATTACAGTGAAAAATGTGACGTTTTCAGTTGGGGAATTATTCTCTGGGAGGTAATCACCCGTCGGAAACCTTTTGATGAGATTGGTGGTCCAGCTTTCCGAATAATGTGGGCGGTTCACAATGGTGAGTTTGCAAACACTTTGTTGCGTTTGAAGTTGTGTAGTTGACCTATTAATTTGATAAGCACTCTACCTGTGTATCTGTAAATTACTGGTGTTTCTGGTTTATACCTCATTAAATATGTATATTCCTCTCAAAGACTTACTAGTTAGACACTACCAATTTTGTGTCAGTGTGGGGTGTGTGTTACTTGGCTGCTACAAAGAAGGGTAAAGAGCCATGTCCTCTTTATTACAACACTCCATTTTAAAAGTGATCTGAGGTGTGCTACAGAAAAACCCTCAACTCTTCTATCTGGGTGAAAGATGATTTTATTAGCCAACTTGTCTTTTTCTAACCTTTTTTTTTTTTCAATTGGACATCTACAATCAATGTGTGACTTCAAGTAACTTGCCCTGCATGTAGGATTGCTACAACCTCTCAAATTCCTGCAGGACCACTAGGCATTAAAAATGTTCCTTTGCTTCTCATCTGTAGTGTTTTGGGGGTGGTTGGGGTTTTTTTTCTGCTGTTTGAATGGTTTTATCCCTAGGTACCTGCAGTCACGGAGCAGCACACAGATTTTTCAGGAGCTTAGAAAATAAACAGGACACAGTGATTGGATCCAAATGGACTTCTTGCTTTAAAGCAGTGGTGTAATTTTGGTCAGGGTGATACAGGAGACTGAAGTGTCTTTGTGCTAGTGGTGTAGCTTTTTAACCACTGTTTTTAGGTACCATGGCAAAACAGGGTTTTTAGAACAATCAAGTAACGACAGTGAATTAATTCAGTGAGTGTCTGCAAAGGGTTTCTGCCATTTGTGAAAGGCAACACCAAAGCAAGAACAAACTTCTTTGGAAGAAACAATTAACAAAGAAGCAATGAAGGTTGGGACTCTACTGAGTGTCAGAGCTTAGGGAGTAAGTGGTGGAAGCTTCAGGTGAGCACAGACATCCAATTTGAAGAGGAGTAACATGCAGACAGTGATAGAACGAATGAACTTTATCATTCTAATAATGCACAAAGATAAATGTTTGCAAATGGCATTTTTGAATGAAGAAAGTGATTGTCCATTTTGATATTTCAAGGACACAAGTCATTGAGGTTAGGAGTGATGAGTGCTTGGCATGAAAGAGTTAACTGTAAAACTAAGTGCAAATCTCCTAGTCATAAATCAGCCTTAGTGAGGTGCAGGAGTGTCCTTTAGGGGAAGTCAAAATCCCTATCTGCCCCTACTTTTGCTTTAAAAACTTCCCTTTTTATCTTTTTCCATTTTCATTTTCCTTCTTAAGAAGGAAGTGTTAGTGCACTTCATCTCAAAACTATTCTGGCACTCTTACTTCATTTATTACTTGTTCTGCTTAATATATTTTCCAATACTTGCTGCTTTGCAAACCATCACCACATCCCATGTATCAAACTCAACTGGATGTCCATTAGTTGTACTCATTGTTCAAATCATAAAAAGAGATACTTGAACCAAAAAATTGGCTGAATAGTTATACAATAGTAAGTAAAATATGTTGTGAAAAATGTGTGTAGGCCGTGAAAAAGTCACACAAAATTGGTACTTCCATTGCCCAATAATTTATCAGGAAGTTCTTACAGGTAAAAAAATACTTGGAGTGTTTCAATTTTTTTCTTTTTTTTTTTTTCTTGTGAGCACCGCATTAGGAAGCAAAGACTGTTACTACTTGCTTCCTAGTTTGGTCTAGAGCTTGATTCTCTGGGAATAAATAACATTTCATTAGCCATTGTAATATGCTGCATTTGGTCAGTCAGTGAATGTATTCAGACCTCTACTGAAGGAAGTTTCATTTTCTTTCTATGTGTTTGTATGTAATTAAAACTTCTATGTAGTGCAAAGGAACCTTTTTGGTCAGTTTTTGTCTGTAAGAGAGAAAATCAAGTACAGGCCAGTTCTTTCAGACTCTAATTAACTTGACATTTTCCTGTATTTATTTAGCAAATTACCAGAGGGAGATCAGTCACTCTCAATTGTTTCATAGTCTGTTTAAAAAATAAAGGTTTTTTTTCTAATTTCAATTATAGGTACTCGGCCACCACTGATCAAAAACTTACCTAAGCCTATTGAGAGTTTAATGACCCGTTGTTGGTCCAAGGATCCCTCACAACGACCATCCATGGAGGAAATAGTGAAAATAATGACACATTTGATGCGGGTATAAAAAATTGGTGTAGTATCTTAATCATTTCTTAAGCTGTTAAGGGAAATCAAGTGATGAAATGTATGTCTTTCATCACACTGTAAAGGTGGGCTGGTGTGTTTTCTGTGTTCTCTCTCTCTTGGAAAAAACTTAGCTAATTATTAGAACAGAGAGGGGAAATAGTTCATCTCCTTATGGGAGGGATATGTTAACTCATAGAATCCCAGAATCAGTGAGGTTGGAAGGGACCACAGTGGGTCATTGGTCTCACCTCCCTACTCCAGCAGGGCCAGCCTAGAGCTCATGGCTCAGGGCTGTGTCCAGAGGGGTCTGGAATATCTGCAGTGAGGAGAATCCATGACCTCTCTGGGCAATCTGTTCAGTGCTCAGGGACTGCACAGCAAAGAAGTTCTTCCTCGTGTTCAGGTGGAACTTCCTGGGCATCAGTTTGTGCTGTTCCCTCTTGTTTGATTGGTTTCCCCACTGAGCAGAGTCTGATCATCCTCTTGGCACCTCCTGTTCATGGACTTGAATCCATTCCTGAGGTCCCTCTGAGTTGTCTCTTCTGGAGGCTGAACAGCCCCAACTCCCTCAGCCTTTGCTCATCCCTGAGGTGCTCCAGTGCCTTCAGCATCTTCCTTGCCCTGCCCTGGCCCTGCTGCAGGAGCTCCATGTCCCTCTGGCCCTGAGGAGCCAGAACTGGACACAGCACTCCAGGTGTGACCTCCCCAGGGCTGAGCAGAGGGACAGGATCACCTCCCTGACCTGCTGGCAATGCTCTTCCCAATGCATCCCAGGATTCCATTGGCCCCTGAGCCACCAGGACACACTGTGACCCATGGACAGCCTGTTGTCCACCAGGTCCTTCTTTGCAGAGCTACTCCCCAGCTATTAACCAGCCCAACCTGTGCTGGTGCTTGGGGTTATTCCTCCCCTCATAACACATTAGAGAAAATGAAAAAATTATCATAGGTGTTGTTTAGTGTATTAATAATAATGTTTGCATTTGTTTATTTTCTAAATAAATTGTTATAAGCGTATCTTTTATATTTGTAAATTATGATGTGCTGTTTAATCCATTTTAAAACAAGTTTTAATTACTTTTCTATCAAATCATTACTGTTTTTGTTCACAGTACTTTCCAGGAGCTGATGAACCTCTGCAGTATCCTTGCCAGTATTCAGATGAAGGCCAAAGCAACTCTGCCACTAGTACAGGTACACTTGTATAGACCAGAGAAAAAGTAAAACAGCATGAAATGATGCACTTGGATTATACAGCATATTGTCATATTGATTTTGGACTCAGTATGGAAAAGATAATCATTCCAAAATCTTCAGCATTGGCAGTGGTTTGTTTTGTTAGTTAGGACCTCATACCACATCATATTTAGTTCTCAGTCAAATGGTTTTGCCAAAGTGTATGTGATGGAGGTCAAGCGTATAATAAATACCAAGTTTAGAGTCTCCTTTATTCCCCATGAATGTTGTTAGCAACTCACACCCTCACTCATATGTAATGTTTAGGAGCTGTCAGTTTAAAATCAATGTTCTTGAAAGCTGCCCCTGCTTTCAGAGATGTTCTCCACAATTTAAACTTGCATTTGTTTTATGTTAAAATGCAGTAGATACAGTCATTACATTAAGTGCACGGAAATCATTGGAAAGGTGGTGGGAAGAAAATATGAGCTGCTAGACTTTTAGATAGTCTTGCCCTTAGAGAAATCCTTTTAATAAGAGAAAATCAAGGTAATTTACTCTTCTTATTATTTCAAGTACACTTTGCCCTCTTCAGTAGTTTTTAATCCTAGGTGTCTTCAGCTTCCACAGCTTGTTTGGATTATTTTCCATCTCCAAAGAAATTGTTGTTGTTTTGGATTAAGTTTCATTGGCTACTTTGCAACTTAGTGACCTTACTTATTGTTCTCCTCCACCTCTCAGCACTTGATTTTAAACCAGAATTTATCACTTTAAACTGTGACTATATATTGGCTGTTATTTCTCAGGTATTTGTGCTCCTCTGTGGTTAATGATGGTCTTGTCATTAATCTTGAATGAGGTTGCTGGTTGTGTTGGTAATATAACATCTACCCCAAAAATTTCAAACAAAGCTAAGGTTTGACTTCTGAATGTTATTACACTATTTAGTTTTCTATTTTCTTCACTCCTTTTACTTCTTAAGTCATAGAATCACGGAATTTTAGGGGGTAGAATGGAGCTTAGAGATCCTCCAGCCCCAACCCCTGCCCTGGGCAGGGACACCTCCCACCAGAGCAGGTTGCTCAAGGCTCATCCAACCTGGCTTTGAAAATGAATGGATCTTTTGCAGTCTTGCAACTTGCCTTTCATGAGAAGGTTTCAGAAGTGTTGCTTTCAAGCCAAGTTAGGCTTTGGTGAGACACTGGCACAGGTTGCCCAGGGAGGCTGTGGCTGCCCCAACCCTGGCAGTGTTCACAGCCAGGTTGGATGAGCCTTGAGCAACCTGCTCTGGTGGGAGGTGTCCCTGCCCAGGGCAGGGGTTGGGGCTGGGTCAGCTCTAAGGTCCATTCCAACCCTTAAATTCTATGATTCTTAGAATGCTCAGCTGAAGAGATGCACTTTAGTGTTTCTAGTGGACATTCTCACATGTTTTCTGTTGTTGCTGCTTTCTAGGTTCATTCATGGACATCACTTCTACAAACACTAGCAACAAGAGTGATGCAAACATGGAACCAAGTGACTACCAAGGAGCTTCTACCAATGACACTATAAAACGTTTAGAGTCAAAGTTGGCCCAGCAAATCAAAACCACAGCCAAGCAGCCGGTGAGCCCTGAAATTTTGAACCATCTTAACAAAATGGACATAGTTAGACAAAGGTGTTGCGACTGCTCTGAAACATTAATGTCTTCATTGAAAAACAGTACAAATTTGGACCCAGTTAGTTAGAGGAAAAGAACAGGGAAAGGGATGGGAAAAAGCTGAGTGACTGAAAAAAGGGAAACTGGAAGGCTCTAATAAAATCTCCAATGAAATATAAAATAATAGTTCATTTTATTTAAAGGGATTTATTAGATTTTTTAAAAACTGTTTGGAAATTGCTGCCTTAAATTAGACCCAAAATAATGGTGTTTCATGACAGATTCCAACCTTTATGTGAATTTTTAGGATGCAAAAATTCAAAGATTCTTTTGTGAAAATACTGGCTTAATTCGACTAATTTTTTATCTGTGTAAAATTATATTCTTTTCAAAGTTGCAGATATTTCATTCTTAGATGCCACTAATAGCTAAATTATTACCACGTATTGAATTAGAAATTTTTTATCTTGGCACTTTTAAAATGCTTGTGAAAGAGATAGATTTTAACCTACATATTTGTGCATTAGGGGGAGCAGTGGGGACAGAGGTGTTGGTCCCAAAGGGCCTTGGCAGTGCTGGTGGCACAGCTCAGTGGGAGCCAAGAGTGTGCACAGGTGGCCAAGGAGGCCAAGGGCAC